AGACAAGAGGAGAATTGAAATCCTCTGTGACACAGCTGGAAAAGTATGTGGGTCCTGGGTCGGAGGGAGGGGGGAGGAAATCAAAATTATTGTAATTTGTAAGTAATTGTAATTTTTTATTATTATAAGTAATTTGTGTGTGTGTGTGTGTGTGTGTGTGTGTGTGTGTTTTATCTGCCTCTGCTGGCGCGCGGGCTGGCACTTTATTTTTTATTTTTTTAAACCATGCCATGAGTCGCCATAGAGCGGGATGTGGTCCCACTGCATGGCTGGCGTGGCGGCATGCACTTTAAAGTGCCGGCACGCCTGTCTGCCATAGAGCGGGACACATCCTGCTTTATGGCCGGAAGGTGCGCCGGCACTTTAAAGTGCATGCCACCGTGCCGGCCATACAGTGGGACACGTCCCGCTATATGGCTGGAAGGCGCAGTGGCACTTTAAAGTGCATGCCGTCACACCGGCCATACAGCAGGACACGTCCCTGGCCAGAAGGTGCGGTATGGCCAGCGCGGCGGCATGCACTTTAAAGTGCCGGCATGCCTTCTGGACATAAAGCAGGATGTGTCCCGCTGTATGGCCGGTGCGGCGGCATGCACTTTAAAGTGCCGACGCGCCTTCCGGCCATAAAGCAGGACACGTCTCACTGTATGGCCGGCACGGCGGCATGCACTTTAAAGTGCTGGCATGCCTTCTGGACATAAAGCAGGACATGTCCCGCTGTATGGCCGGTGCGGCGGCATGCACTTTAAAGTGCCGGTGTACCCTCTGGACATAAGCAGGACGTGTCCCGCTGCATGGCCGGTGCGGCGGCATGCACTTTAAAGTGCCAACGCGCCTTCCGGCCATAAAGCAGGACGTGTCCCACTGTATGGCTGGCACGGCGGCAGGCACTTTAAAGTGCCGCCGCGCGGACCATACAGCGGGACATGTCGGGGCTTCGAGGGCGGACAGGCGTGCTGGCACTTTAAACTGCATGCCACTGCACCGCCCATACAGCGGGATGTGTCAGGGCTTCGGGGGTGGCTGGTGCTGGCAGACATAGGGCGGCTTTTGCCTGCTTGCCTCACCGGCCGTGAACCTCACCACACGTCACTGATAGGCACGCTATAAATAAACAAAATGACGTATCAAAATCCATCATAACTCAGATACAAAAATACAGTTACGTGTATGGTAACACTGCTTGGTGGCATTAATGATGTGGCTACATACAAAAATGGAAATTCCCCAAATGTTCCAAAAACCCCAGGTAAAATCCAGTCAACATCATTTGACTTTTCAGACAGCTCCAAAAGCCCTCGCTTTCCCAGAACTGAACAATAAATCATTACCGGCTTCTTGCAAAACATGTCCTGTAACTTCCTGTTACAAAGGGGTGGGGGAGATCAGGCTATTTTTGTTCAGGTCACTGTAACTCTCTGATTTTGCTCCAAGCTGTGAATTTCCAAGCAAGCAAGTGAGCTGAGTTGTGCCTGTGATGTATTCAAAATGGAATTGGTTTTACCCAAATAATTTGGGGTTTCAACCATATTCTCTCATATATTTACATGGAAGTAGGTAAGCAGTGGGGCACCACAACATTTTGTCTTATGCCCAGTACTCTTCAACATCTTCTTAAATGTCTTAAATGAGAAAATAGAAGGGGAATATATCAAATTTGCAGATGATACTAGGCTGGCAAGAATAGCCAACATTCTATAGGCTCAAGATCCAGATGGACCTTGACAGACTTAAACACTGGGCCCTAACTAATAAAATGAAATTAAATGTAGAGAAAAGTAAAATCTTGCACATAAGCAAAAAAAATCAACCAGGCTTAATAGCAGTAACTGAGAGACGGATCTTGGAGTTTTAGTGGACAACCAACTAAATATTAATTAGCAGTCTGCAGCGGCAGCCAAAAAAAGACAATGCAATCCAAAATTGCATTAACAAAGGAATTCAATCAAGATCACATGAAGTACTATTACCATTCTATAAAGCCTTAGTAAGACCACACCTAGAATACTGCATCCAGTTTTGATCACGACACTATAAAAAAGATGTTGAGACTCTAGAAAATGTGTAGAGCAGAGCAACAAAGATGATTAGGAGATTAGAGGCTAAGGCATATGAAGAACAGTTACAGGAACTATGTGCACTCACATTTGCAAACTGGTAGGGAAGGTAAGTATATAACATCCCTATTCCAAAGGCTTTTCAAAGCACTGCAACAATGGCATGCATGATGTTAGTGACTTTGGGATGAATGCCTGGTACAGACAGCAGCTACTTCACATGTGTTGTGAAGTAGGTTGGGCATGCTGGCCTCACTAACAGTGGGAGCACAGCCTAGGTTGCAGGGACGAGGGTGGCAGGAGAGGTTGAAGATTTATAGTAGTTAACTGCAGTAACAGACCTTATATAATTAAGTTCTGGCAAGCAATCTTTGTGGCACAAACACAATGAGCAAAATCTTCAGAAATACGAACTGTTGTCTCCTATGACATTCACTCCTCTTTCCTTATATTTGTTCCTCAGCCTTGGAGGAGCCATTCAGCGTCCACATGTGCTTTGCTTCCTGAGTCAACTCCTTGTTCTCCTTTGTTCACCTCTCCTAACTGCTCTGCACATATGTGCATCTGGAACAGGCCCCACTGTTCTTCTTCCTCACTCATATCAGCCTTCAAAGGCAGCTGCATCTCCGGTGGCTGGGAAATGTCAGATGGCCCTGGCTCTATCTCTGCATCTGACGCAGAGCATCCATCAGCGCCTTCCCCAGACTCCAGAACTGGCCCAAGTTCCTCCATAACCTTCTCATCGTCTGATTCTGCCGCCAATTCTGCTGGCAGCTGGTGGGCCACAACAGTGTGAGACTGAAGCAACATCCTCATCAGTGGTAGTGCTGGATGTAAACTAGATGCAATCCTTTATCTTACCAAGGCTTAGGGGTTAGGAAGGACCAAGCTGAGAACGGCTTGGATAGGGATGGGTTCTCATCTAATTACTGTTGGGACAGCCAGGATTACTGTCACTAAGAGATTCAATCACATAACTTATGGCCACATTGCTTAGCAACAGGAATTCCAGTCCGAATTGCCATTGTAACTTGAGAACTATTGTACTGTCCAAAAGAAATCATCTTCCAATAGGAAAGGCATAGATTTGACTGCACTCATAAAAAATCAGCTGATCATTTTTAATACTAAGAAATGTTTTTAGTAAAGGCAGGCCCACCAGTAGTTACACTATAATATATAACAATGATAAGTTTAGCATCCCAATATGCATGTTTTTAAGCAATAGGCATGGTTTTTTAGTTTTACCTTTGATGAAGCGTCTGCTTACGTGTAGATTTGCTGACTTGATACTGAACAAAATGAGGAATCAAATCTGGATTTAGCTTGATATAGGCACCACGATTGCTTCCTTCTTCATAGTAGTTTGAGGCGGAAAAAATAGTGATGACCTATTTAAAAAAGAAAACAGCTATCACTTAAAATACAGTATGCTTAGAACCAGACTAGTCACAGGTGAACAAATGTCAGAATTAACCAAGCATCAGTGACGTGGGGTGAAGCTTATGGGTGGTGAGGCAAAAAGAAAGCGGCTTTTGCCCGCCCCGCAGCAGCTATGTCTGAAATAGAGGTGCCCTGTGCCCCACAGCTATGTCTGACCCAGCTGCAGGGTGCGGGACACCTCTATGTCAGACAGAAGTGCGGGGCGCTTTCTTTCAGCTTTTGCCCACCCCACAGGGCAAACACTTCCACCTTGCAGGCACCGGAGCTGCAGGCCACCAGGAGTACATCCCACCCGCAGCAGAAGAGCGCCGGTTCCTGCCCAGGCTGGAGCGAGAGCCACGGAGGCGAAAGGTGAAGAGGGGTGGGGGGGGGTGTTCCAAGAGGCCCCCTCCCCTTTTTGCGCTCCGCAAGCCAGGCCCATAGCGGCAAGAGGCTCAGCTCTGCTTCTATGCCCCCTCTCCGCTCCAGAGAAGCCGGCCGCGGGCAAGTCTCCACAGCTCCGGTTCCGTCTCCAAGCAGCCCTGGGAGGAAACGGGCCAGCCCCGCTTCCCTCCCCGGACATTCTGGGAGCGGAGGCCCCGCATTCCGCTCCCCCTTCCAAGCCTCGAATGGCCAGCCTTGGCTCCCGCCGCTTTCTCCCAGAACTCCGGCAGGCCCACCGAGGAGGAGCCCGGATGAGGCGGGAGCAAAAGCCTC